CCCCTTCCCCCGGTTTTCCGCGCAGCTGCCCGCGTGTGCGGCTGCAGTTGGCGTGTTTCACGCGTTTGCAAAAATTAACTGTTTTTCCTTTGTATCTTAATCCAGTGATGAGAGCTCCCCTTTGTTGGCTTTCGAGCTTGCATTTGTTTTATTTATTATAAGGAAATCCAGTTTGGTTCAAATATATAATCCATTTGAGCACTTAAATCCCCAAACAGCTGGCATTATTTTGTTTTATAATCTTTGGCTTTTCTGCACAGAGCATATTTCTAAATTCCTACTTGACATTTATGGGGAAAAAACTTTTTAATGTAAATGGATATTGCTTTTTTTTTTTCTGGGCCTTTCCTAATTTACATGCATCATCAATTTTCCAGGATTTCCTATTGTTTTGCTGTTTTTTCTTTCCCCTGTAGCTTGTCAATTAATTTTTTTCCCTCAGAAAAGTTTGTTTCTGGAAGGAGAAAAATGTTAATTCATCCCATGATTTTTAATCTCTGGCATTTGGAAATGGTTGAGAGACCACAAAAATGCAACCTGTTGTAGAAAGCAGAGCGGTGTGTTGAATTTAATCGATAGCAGAGAGGTGATTTAGTTATAGGGACTCGGAGTAATGTTTTCGCAGCAGCGCCGTGGCTCTGCTGGCTGCGTACGCGGCGCGCACGGGTGCTGCCTCGCAGGCTGATTAGCAAGGGGGGTTTGTGCTGATAACCAGGGGTCACTTGTGCTTTCTGCACTTGCTGGCCGCGGCGTCTGCTAACCCCGGCTCTGTCTTGGCTGCTCCCACTTTTCTCAGACTTTCTTCCTAACTAATTCAGAGCAGCGTTACGAATCTTTCATCAGCAGGGGAACCAAAACTGAGCTGGAAATAACTAATTATGGCTTGGTTCCCTTGTGAGAGGGATTCCCCCCCCCCCTTTTGTTTTATTTTTTATTTAATTTTTAAAATTATTTTTACAGTTCAGAGCTAAGGCTGTTGATTCAATCTGTCTTGGTTGTGGTGTTTTTAGCCTTGTTATTGGTAACATACACGATTGCACAGGTAATTTGTATACACCTTAAACAGAATGTCTCTCAAAAACAGTAACTAGACATAAAACTATCTATTTTTTTTTTGAATTAGACTATGCTTTCAGTGTGCCTGTCTAATGCTGGTAGACAGTATATGTAGTTTCATAGATTGATCTCCACCCCCCCACCCTCTGCTCCTCGTTTAGTTAATTCAACAAAGACTTTTTGCAATCTGTTTGGAGTTTGTCTGATGCTGTGGAAAAGTAGCTGCTGATTTATTTGGTTGCTTTTCGATTTCTGTCTCTAGCCCGTCTTTTCTCCTCCTTTCAGCGGGGATGTCAGCTGTTATTACTTCCTATTGATCCCTTTGCAAAGTGAGAAGTGAACTAAAATTAATGTCAATTCCACTGCTCGGATCAATAGCTGGAGTTATTTTAATCTGGATTTGCGCGAGGTGCTAAATTAAAAAAAATCAGCATAGAGGCAGAAAAGTAGCAGTTACTTACTCCGCCTGCGCCCACTGCCTCCCCGCCACCCAAATGCTCCATCCTGCCGATTATCCTGCAATCCATATTTTTTTAATTAAGAAGGTCAGTTAGTTTTCTTATTTTGGGTTCTGCGTTTAAACCTATGACATTTTGACATTGGGAGTGTATTAACGATAGATTTTCATAATGACCGGTCCGCCGCAGTCTAATTTGTACATGTTGCTCGTGGGGGTGGAGGGGAGGCGCTGAGCGAGTGAGTGAGCAAGAGGGAACGAAAAAGGAAGTGAGAGTTTAAAAAAAAAAAATAAATTTGGCTGGCTGAGATATTGTAATGTGTTGATTTATTCCCAGTGTAATGAAGTTTGCAAACGAATAAACGGCCGTAGTGATTCACGGTATCCTACAGGAGTGTCAAGTGTTGCGGCCAGATTACTAATTTATGAAATCCGCTTAATGTAATGGGATGATAGCACAAGTAAAAATAGAAAAGGAGACAGAGGTGGCTGCTTTTTCTTTTCTTTTTTCTTTTTTTTTTTTCCTGGAAATCCATATTTTCCGTGATTGCTCACCTTCACTTCCATGTTAATGATTGTTTTTAACTGAGTGGTGGTTTATTTGTAGGGCTGCCTTTAAATGTGGGTACACATGTATACATATGTGCAGTGTGTGTGTGAATGTGTATACATGTGTGTATTATTTCCATGCTTGCATAAACCTCCCTAGCACCTCGAGATTTGCCAGTGGATGCAGTTTCCTGAGCTCGGGTTTTGATCAGCGCTGCGTAATGCAGCAGAGCGAGTGTCCTCAGGACCACGGCGCTGCCCGGGATGCCCTTGGCATCTGCCTCTTGCCTTCTCCCCCTCTCCCGCCTCTGTGAGAACTTAACAGGAAAGTTATTTAAAATTTGGAAGAGAGCAAGTCCGCTAATGCGAGATACATAATCTGGTAATTTAGCAATGATGTCTGTAAGGATAGGTGCCAAATGAGGAAGCGAAGAGATGATGTCCACTCATCTTCCCGATTAATAGCAGTCGCTGGAGCTGTGCAGGGTGGCAGAGAGGAAATGTCACCGCTGCGCTGCATTAAAGCTGCCGGCTGGATTTCGTGCACTTTGTTAACCTGGGCTCCCTCATTCAGGGAATACAAAAGGCACTCCATTAGGGAGACACTCTTTCAGTAAGTTTTATTTGAGATGTTTGACCCTCTGGATTTAAGAGGCACAATTTGTAACAGCTTTTTATTATTATATGATTTTTCTGGCCCTTTGAGCTCCAGCCGGCGAGTATATTGTTTCAAAGTTATAGTGCTTGTGTTTTAAGCAGCGTTGAGGGGCCTGAATGGTAGGCAGCGGAAGCTTAAAAGAAAAGACCCTAGATTGATTGGGGGAGAAAACTGCAAAACAACAAGCCAGAGCAACAGCAGACGCAAAAGAAGGGTTTTCCTGCATTTTTCTTGGAGAGGGGGTTGTGGCTGCAGTCATCCTCGGAAGCTCGGCAAGCCGCGAGTCAGAGATTTTGTTAACATTTTCCTCTAAATGTTAATGGCACATCCAGGGCAGTTTACAAATCTACTTAAGAGTGAGTGCATTAGGAACTAAAATTACTGATCCATCCTCTCTTGTCCCCGACCCGAACGGCAGACGCTGGCGGAGATCAGATGGCAGCAGCACCCATTATGATTTTAAATATCGTCAGAGACGCCAGGCGCTTTATTGGGGAAGTCTCTTCTCTCTTGGCTAAAAGGGAGTGCGTGCTGTGAGTGTGTCGCGTGTGTTTGTGGTTATGTGTATTCGCACATACACGTCCTCGGTCACCCTCATACCTTCCGCTAGTCTATATGGTTCTACGTAGTACTGAGCGTGCAGGCACGTTTGTACTGGGAGCGTGAGAGGGAAAAATATGTCTATTAGGTACGTCTTGGGCATCGCGCGTAGCGTGAAGAGCGTGGTGGCTTAGTTGTGTAATTACGTACAGTACATATTTTTATATTGGCTGGTTGCATATGTGTTTGTATGTGTGAATATACACCCAAACATTGAGTAAAATAGTGTTTTATGTATATATGTGGGTGTTTTTAAGTTGACTGTAATTAACTGTTTATATTTTATTTGGCTTTCTTTACATTCAACATATGTGCCCCTTTGCCATATAAAATTCCAATTATAATTTGGAGTGTCTTAATTATAGACCAAATCTTGTTCATTCATGGGTTATTAACTGTTCATATTTTATTTGGCTTTCTTTACATTCATCCACGTTGGATGACGCCTTTCTTTAATCCAGAGGGCCAGGGCTGATCCTGCTGGAGTGCCTGTTGCCTTTTGGTTCTCTTGAATGGGAACAGCCGTGCTTCTGTGGCTGCATGGTGGTAACACGTGTGGCTACCCCACTGCTGGAGCAACCCGGAGAGATGAGGACAGGAACCTCACCGGCTGTGTTTTCTTTTCTGTTTCCTTGCAGCTCTCGGAGGGTGATGATGCTCCAGTAATTTCCCCTGCTCCTTTCCCAGGCCTCGCTTTCCTTTCCGTCCAGGAAAGATCATTCCGCTTGTGATCCCGCTGAGGAAAGAGACTCCGATGGACTTGCACCGGGCAGCATTCAAGATGGAGAACTCGCCCTATCTTCCCAACCCGCTGGCCTCCCCGGCGCTGATGGTCCTCGCTTCCACCGCGGAGGCCAGCCGTGACGCCTCCATCCCGTGCCAGCAGCCGAGGCCTTTTGGGGTCCCCGTGTCAGCGGACAAGGACGTGCACATCCCCTTCACCAACGGCTCATACACTTTCGCCTCCATGTATCACCGGCAAGGTGGGGTGCCGGGAGCGTTTGCAAACCGTGACTTTCCTCCGTCCTTGCTTCACCTGCACCCCCAGTTCGCACCCCCCAACCTGGACTGCACGCCCATCAGCATGCTGAACCACAGCGGCGTCGGGGCTTTCCGCCCCTTCGCCTCCACCGAGGACCGGGAGAGCTACCAGTCGGCCTTTACGCCGGCCAAGCGCCTCAAAAACTGCCATGACACCGACTCGCCCCACCTGCGCTTCTCGGACGCCGACGGGAAGGAGTACGAGTTTGGGACGCAGCTGCCCTCCAGCTCCCCCGGCTCTCTCAAAGTCGATGAGACGGGGAAGAAGATCTTTGCGGTTTCTGGCCTCATTTCCGACCGGGAGACTTCATCCAGTCCTGAAGAGCGCAGTGACAGATGTAAGTACCTCTGTTGACTTGCTGGTTTTACTTTAGCTGCAGAGTGTTGAGATGCTCAACAGGTGGTTGCCCTGCAGTGCTGATGCCCTTGCTCAAAGGAGGGGAAAAGCAACCTTTTCTTCCTGCTAAGTTGAAGCGCTCAGTGTTGCCTTGCTTCTCTTAAAAGGACATTGATGGATTTTAAGGAGAGGTGCCCTTGAAGGAAACTTGTCTTCCAGCACGCAGCTGCTGAGACAACGTTGACCTGGCTTTACCTGCAGGAAAATGTCCATGTGTTAGTGCAAGGACACAAATGGTGGTACACACGTATGTGTAAGCAGGGGGTCAGCTGGAGTGTGTTGCCAGAAACTTTTTCAGAGCTTGTAGCAGATGCAGTACACACTGCTGTTTCAAGTGTTTTATCTATGGCATTTTCCTCATGTGCGCCAGTCATCCTTATAGCAAATGCATCAGCCTTCAGATTCTGCACCTCAGATTAGAGCAAAAGGGACTTTTTACTCTAGTTAATTTAAGAATATTTCTGGCCATCAAGCTCTCTCTTCGAGACATAAACAATTCAATAAGCCCTTTCTGAAAATACGCCGTGTACTTTCTGAGCGCGTCCCCCCTTGGTGACTGCTGAAAGGTGATGTGCCCTTTTGCGGGCTGGTGTTTGGACTGAAGCAAACCAGTCCACTGAACATGACTGTAAGTCCCTGCTCCCTCTTCTCCTTGTCTCACCGCCTCCGTAGAGGAACCGAGCTGCCCTCCCTGCAAGGGAAGGCTTCCAGGTTTGCTGACCACAGAGGTGACCCAAGGAGGGGAGAAATCGAGAGTGGGGGGAAGTGGAGTTCGGTACCCTGGTGAGGAGTGCTGAATTAGGAATGAATTTTCTGGTAAATCCAAACATATGGACCAAAGAACAAGTGGCTTGGATTTTTTGTTGGCTCCTTTGTTCTGTTGATTTTTCTTCCTAGAAAAGACTTTTTAAATTGTTGTTATTATTATTATATATTTCATATATATATATTTTTTTTTTCTTTTTTCAAAGCAAAAACCGCTCCACAGCTTTCTCCCACTTTCAGATGTGATTTTTTCTTCTCCCCTTTATGATGCCGAGGAGAGTAATAGAGACATTGTGGCTCTCGCTCCCCTGTCGGCGCTGCTTCCTCAGGCTGTCTCCTTGAATTAGGCACAGTGTTAACTTAGCGCCGCTAAAAGACATCCGCCTAAACCCAGCGTACCTTTTCAATAAAAGTCGTCATAAAATCAACCTGCCTTGTAAATCCATCGCTCTTTGGTTTTGAAATACACTGCAAGTGCTTTATGTCGGCGTTTGTGCGTGTGGGACAATTCCCGCTTCAGGCAGGAGCTGTGTGCTCCTTGCGCTACAGATGTGGTCGCTTATCCGTCTCCCCCTCTCCTGATCCACCCCGTGAGTGCTGCTTTGGTGCTGCCGTTCGCTGTTTGTGCTTTGTTCGTGCATCTCCCAATCCATGCTTCGCAGGGGCTGTAGGTGGGAGCGTGTATGGACATGGGTGTAAGCTGTTAATATAATGATTTTTGGGGAGGAGGATAGGCGAGATGATGAGGCTTGGACATTCTTTGCCAATGCTCTTTTCCTTATCAGCATAACCTGCTGCTGGAAATGAAGCTAGCTCAAAAGGATACTTTGGTAGATAATGACGGAAGAGCAGCTCCTCCAGCTAAATGAATTTAGAGCGGCTCAGTCGCTCTGCGTTTTCCTAGCAAAATCCTGTCAGACACCCCATTTAAAGAAGTAAATCTCCTAAATGAATTAGAGTGCGTGGAGCACAGCTGTGGACAGACGGACACGGGCACACCAGCGACGTGTGGTCCTTGCCAGAGTCGTGTGCTGAGCAGGGGTCCTTGTGCTTGAAGCCCGTGGTGGGTTTTGCTCAGGAGGAAGAGGGGAAACAGAATAAAAACTTTGTGGATAGCTTTGAAAACTTGGGCAGAAGCAGAAGGTGTTTTGTTTTGCTGTTCTTCCTGCCCATATTGTTAAATTCCTTTAAAACGCTCGGCCTCACAGAACAGCCAAGCGAATGCAGCATCGCTGGCATTTCACTGAGATTAAAATTCTTCAGTATCTACCAGGACAGTTTATACCCAATACGTCTGCTGGCTCTGTATCTTATTCCCATCATATATAGATATTGCACCATGGAAACTTAGCTCCATTAACACAACAGTTTATTTGTTGTGCGCATACACACGTATGTGTGTGTTTGCTAGAGGGCGAGTGAGCGAGCAGCCGAGCGTTTTAGTGGATCCTAATGATCTTTTATGTTGACCATCAGAACAGAAAAACTTCCTCAGTGAGGAATTTGAGAGATGGCCATTTGCAGAGAGAACTGCAGTCCTGTTTTGCATTGAAATTCACAAACAGATTTTTGGAGTTTCTATCTCCTTTTACAGAAATGTGTGCTTTGGGGTGTTTGCGCTCTCTGATGATTGGCCCCAGAGAAGTTTTGTGCGTTCCTGGTGTAATTGTTTGGAGCAACCTTTGTAAAAACTGCCCAGCTTTGCTCCTGCTGTTGAGTCTGTTGCCGGCAGGTTCCTGTAGCTTCTAGGCAGAAATGCAATAAAGCTTCTATGAGGCCTGGCAAAAATTGTAAAATTCTTAGATCAGCAACACCTTTATATGTCTAATGGGTGCTTTTCAGAATTGCAGAGCTTGTCTGTTCAGCTACATTTTTCAGAATCCTGAAAGAGTTTGTGTGGCATGGGAGGGGAATTGCGGTAATGGCACTACATGTCTTCTGTACACAAGGGCTTTTCTGAATAGTTCATTAAAATGTTTGTTTTGCCCCATAACGTAAATAGTGATTTTATGAGGGAGAAGTTTAAAAATAAATTAAAATAAACTTACTGAGATTTAGTATTTCTGAAACATAACTCTTGAAATGACTTACAACAAAACAAGACTCCAAAGGCAGGTGCTTACATCTTGGAGATGTTTGGAAGCTGCCGTATGTAGACCTCTGCATCACTGGGAGCAAAATCTCATTGTATTTTCACCAATGGAGAAATTCCATTAAATTTGCTAAAATCTGGGAGGATTTGTACTGATGCAACTGAGAGTAGTACCTGGCCGTGTAAGATGCGTATATATACAGTAGAGATTATTGCCTCTTGGGTGAACCTTTGCTTTTTGTTAACTCTGGGTGATGCTTTCCAGCTGCATGAGCACCTGAAGTCCATGAGGCAGCTAGTGAGGGACGGCTGGGCTTTGAGGTGCACCTGGGTGTGATGGTGCTCCTCGTTATCCAGAAAATTGCTTTAAGACCTAGGTGTAACAATATAGGTACTTGAGATATTCGGAGAGATGAAGTGTACAGGGAACATGGCCAGAAGAGGAGTCTTCCCAGAGAGAAGTAGACAGGTCGTACATTGGATGGGGCCTACTCTGTCAGTTGATTGTTGAGGAAAAATAATGACATTTGTCCCAAGAAACTCTTCAAAGCACATGCTAGTGATGCTCAGAGGTGTATTTTATGCGGTTTGTTTAATAAGTGTAGGATAGCTGAGATTTCTACAAGGACCAGAAATAAATGGCAAGCTCCTTTCTGTGAGAGAGGTCCATAGTCTCATTTCAAGATCAGCAAAAAGTAAAGATCCCTTAAAAAAAAGAAGTCCTGATGCCTTTCTATGCACAGTCACCATGGCATCACCTTCCTTCTGAATGCCGATAGAGATCCCAGGATTGCTCAGCAGAGAGCTGGAGATGGGCAAGGCCCTTGGCTTTCCTCACTCCCCAGCCCATGCAGGAGAGTGCAGAGGATGGTTCCAGTTTTTGCCCATGGCTTAGTCTTCATCCAGTGTTGCCTGCGGTAGCTGGAGGACCTGCAGCAGGATGATTCTCCTGCTTGGCCACTGATTTAGTTTTCAGACCCTTGTCAAGGTCTGTCTCTGTTGGACTTAATGTCCCTGTTGCCACTGGGGATGCCCAACAAGGCACCAATGTGCTCTGAGAAAGAGTGATCTAGTTGGTAAGCACATGTGGGAGTGGATTTATTAGTATTGTTTTTATCATTGCTCTTGGGAATAACCAGCATTTCCCCTTGGATGTTGGGATGGCTTGTCCTGCAGCCGTCTGTCCTCTGCAAGGGAAGTTGGCGAGGCCTTTGTTCCACGTCCGTGGTGGGGTTGTCCGGCTGTGAAACAACCGGCATGTTATTGATCAAGTGGAAATGCAAAATCACACTTGAGGTGATGGATATTGGGGCTGTGATGATCCCAGCTTGTGTTTCTGAATGTGGAGCGCTTCGGAGCGCAGGCAGCCTGCCCGTCGGGCATGCACGTGTGCAGGTTTGTGTTTATGTGCTAGACCATATGTAAAGCTCTGCGTGTGTGTTTGGGGGGGAAAGAAGGTTGGGTTTTTGTTGTTGTTCATATTTCTCTTTTTCTACTACGCGGTAACAGAGTGGTGGGTCACAGGGGATGGCAGAACTGCTGCTGCCATCATGCGTCGCTCCCAAGGCAGGTAAAAATTTGGGGCCGAATGCAAAGCAACACTTTGTGACTAGGAACAATCAGCTGCAACCATGGGAAACTGTGAGCTTTAAGTGGCTTATGAAATAACTGGATAAATCAAGGACTTGAAGAAATCAACGCGGCACAGGAAAGGGGAAGAGCAGCAGCAGGGTGTGAGCGCGGGCGGGCAGGCAGAGGTGGGGTAGCACAGGCGACAATCCCCGCAATGTCCCTGGCAGCGCCTGCGCCGTGCGGACGGGGCTCAGGCTGGCGCCGTGTTCAGCGCTGGTGCGTGTGGCCATGTCCTCCTTTTGTGCAGGCGTTTTGTTTTTCTGGCAAGAGCCTCTCTGCTCCCTCCGCAAACTGTTGCGGCAGCTCCTCTTCGCTTTGCTCCCTCCTGAGGAGCCCATTAATGTTTGAACAGCTAAAGTGGGGAAGGGCTGGGTGGGAGCAGCCCCTGCCGGCTGCGGGGCCATCTGGCCTGGCTCGGCTCTGCCCGTTGCCACTTTATATTTCTCTTTCTG